TTTTTTTTTTATACCACGACGGTGGCAAAAAAGCACACGGCCCACCTGATGGTAAGCGGTTACCGTGGCCTATGTACGCCTGCAACACTTGGGGCATTACATGCGTCTTGCCGACCCTTAAAAAACCTATTCACCGCCCTCTTGAAGAACCTCATGTTGTAGCCCACTGGGAAAACCACGGCAGGGAGCTCATTCCACAATCGGAGGGTCCGTGGGAGAAAATTCCTCTGAAACCGAACTGTACGGGACCATTTTGGCTCCAATGAGTGAGCGTGAACCCCCTGCCGATGGCGAGCGGTGCGATGATAAAAAGTGGCCGTGGGCATCATATCAAATAATTCTGCAGAACATAACCCATTATACAAGCGGTAGAACACGCACAAGGAGGCAAAATCTCTCCTTAGACTTAAGTGCTCGATACCGCTCGTAAGTATAGGATCGTCAACAAGTCTGACAGCTCTCCTTTGGACCGCGTCAAAAGGTCCAAGCTGGTATGCTGGCGCTCCTGCCCAGAGATGAGAGCAGTACTCCATATGGGGGCGAACTTGCGATTTATATAAAAGCAGTCTTTGTCCCGGCGTGAAGTACCGCTTCGCTCTGTTCAGTACACCGAGTTTTTTAGATGCCAGCTTGGCCTTATCTTCTAAGTGACTACGGAACTGGACGTCACTAGATATGTCGACACCAAGGATACCTATACTTTTGGAGATGTTAAGGGTAGTGTCTTGGAATTTAGGGGCCACAACGAATGGGGTTTTTTTAGCGGTAAACGCACAAACTTGTGTCTTGGAGGGGTTGAACCGGACCATATGGTCCCGACCCCAATCGGAGACTCGGCATAAGGTACTCTCGATTTGAGACACAAGTTTTACGCGGCTTTCTTCCACAACGGAACGAGGGATGTTTGCACGGCCCGTGTAAAATGCGTCCCCGGTGCTATCATCAGCATAACAATGAATACCCTCAACAGACAGCAAATCATTGATATGCAGAAGAAACAGCGTCGGGGAAAGTACGGAGCCTTGTGGGACGCCAGCGTTTATGTCCATGCTTTCAGAGCAACTACCGTCTACGACGGCTCTTATGCGTCGGCCGGACAAAAAGCTACCAATCCATTTGCACAATCCCTCGGGCAGTCCGTATGATGGCAACTTCGTCAGAAGACTCCGGTGCCAGACCCTATCGAACGCCTTCGCTATATCTAGGCTAACTGCCAATGCCTCACCTTGACTTTCAATGGCCGAGGCCCAGCGATGTGTGAGATACACTAGAAGATCACCAGTCGAGCGACTGTGGCGAAAACCGTATTGACGGTCGCTGAGCAGGTCGTGCTCCTCTAGGTATCGAAGGAGCTTGGTGTTGATTACTCGCTCCATCACCTTGGAAAGAAGGGAGGTAATAGCGATAGGCCTGTAATTCGTCGGGTCTGTTCTATCGCCCTTTTTGGGCACCGGATGCACGTAGGCGGTCTTCCACGAAGACGGTACTTGCCTAGTGTGGTAAGAAAAAGCGAAAAGACGCGCTAGAACAGGGCACAATTCAGGAGCACACTGCTTTAGAACCACTGCCGGTATGCCGTCGGGCCCGCTCGACTTATGAACATCAAGACTTAGCAACTCCCGCCGAATGTCTCTTTGTGAGAAGCGAACCTCCGCCATAAAGTGGCCGCAATGCGGGATGGTAGGTGGTATGGTGCTTTCATCGACGTTCAAAGTCGAGTTAGAGGCAAAAAGAGTGCCTAACAGATCGGCTTTCTCCTTTGCACTGTGGGCCAGGTTGCCATCGGTATTTTGCAGTGGCGGTAAGGACGACTGACAGAAGTTACCCTCGGCAGCTTTGGCAAGTGACCAGAAAGCACGACTCCCAGAGGGATAGCCTGTTAGCTTCTTGCCAATTCTGCCGATGAAATCGAATTTTGCTCTGGCAATTTTTCTTTTCGTGGACCTTGAGGCAGCATTAAGTGTCAGAAAAGGTCTCAAACATCTTGTTTTGCGGCAGGAATTTTTCAATAAGTTATCAAATATAATATACTTATTGGAACTGTCACCTGATACCTTAATTTATTTAAAAACTAAACGAAGAATAACCCCTTTACAAGATACAAAAAACATACGGACGTCTTTATCCCAACATTAGAGCTAAAATAAATGTAGCACATTGGCGATTCGTCCCACTAACCCAGTGTTGGGGCAACTACGAACAGGGCTGCTACCGACAGCGGAGGGGACTTTTTTCGAGAATTTTCTATGATACATTATAGAAATAGTTAATAACAATTCCTCAAAGTAATTTTATAAAAGTTTAACTGTTTTTATTTAGCCTAAAATATTGGAAATCGATTTAATTTTAAATTGGAAATATGAAGTTTTAAAATGTAACTATAACCTGCTTATTGAAAACCGTTTATGAACACGTTTTTCCGAGATTTTTTAATTTTGAATTCAAAGAAGATTATACTATCACAGTATATATTCTTGACGTACCTATTTTATTTGGCACAAAATACTACCCAATTTAACTCATTTTTCATTCACCATCCTCCTTTAATATGCACTATGAAGTCCCACTTCTATTACGACCTGTCCCTTTCTTTTATTATGGCCTGTCTCTTTTCAACACTATCAACTTTTAGTCTCACTTCTAGATCTTAGGTTGTGAGTAAGCGTATAATGTACCTACTATTCTCATTCTTGTCCTAACCTCGTACATTATTTCATTATCAATTCTTACTTATATTAAGCATCACTTCTAATTTGACCTGACCCTTAAGTTACTATCAAGTTTTAGTCTCACTTCTACATCTTAGGTTGTAAGTAAGGGTGTCATGTAGTAGTACTCACCTCATTCTTGAGGTTGATGGGCTCTTGCTGCGGCCGGGGCGGCGAGTGCCGTCCCACCTCCGCGCCCTCCAGCATATCAGCCTCGCATCCCGACTCGTCTGTGAACATAATAAAAGAGAATGTAGTTTGTAATTTATGTTTTTAAGTTGGATGTCTTTCTTTTATTGATGCTGAATGCTACTGGTCTTTTTTTGTTTTGTATGAATTGACAGATTCTATCTATTTTTAAACACTTTGAAATCGTTAGTAATCGATATTAGTAAGTTCACAACTCCTCCATCATTTAAAACTCTATCCTATTCGATTTTATTTAAATAATACAAAAAACTTATTTTTTTTTGTTGAGAAATCGTCCACTTAGATGCTTATTATGCCTTACTATTCCATTGCACAACACTTCTACGCTACAAATTAAAAAAAAAACATTATCCACAGACAAAATACATAACCTCAAAAGCTCCTAACCTTCTAAAAACTCTTTCCAGACATAGTAAACACGACCTACACCAATCGCACGACACAAATAGGTCAAGATACGTGGTCCCGTCTCCTTTGTTCCCTCTTTCGTCCGGGACCCATGTGTTTATACGAATATCGACCTTACAATGTGAGCAACACGGTGGTGTTTGCATTGTGTGCTGGGTAGGAAGAAGAAAAAGTGTATCAGCTGTTTGGGTATCGCGAGTCAATTGAAGGACGGATTATTATGGCGTTGGAAGAACGAAACGGTTTGTTTGTTGCTTTAGGGTTAGCGAGTTCTTTTTTCGAATGTCGGTTTTTTTTTGCTGCCGTTGATTCTTTTCGGCATTTGAAATTGTATTTCGAATCGTGTTCTATGAGTTTGACGCTGTTTTTAATTAATCGATTGGTTTTTAATTTGAGACTTTGGTTTCATTACATTTTTTAGTTATTTTGGGAATACTATTATCTATAGTAGTACTAAAAGACGACTATGTACATTTATACAGCATTAGAAAATATTTGAGAATTATTTGTTTCAGGCTTACAGTCTTCATTCTTAATTTTACATTTTTAATTTTAAAGAACAGTTCACTATATCATATACAACTAAAGTACAATTTAACTTAACAGCTGAGATACGTTACAAATATACATACACTAAAGTAAATAAGTATTTTCCGTTTAATTACAATCGGTGAGTAAATTCCCAGCACAAGATATGCTGATCCGATATCTTATGGGAATAATACCGTGTGTAGGTGACATAGTACCGATTATCTGCAACCGGCTTTACACTGAGGTGGGTAAGTAATTATATTGGTATATTGCGTACAAATCCTTTTTATTAGGCCTAAGAAAATGCGACGAAATGAGAATAAATTTAGCATTTGATAGTGGAAGGGTAGAAAAGAAGAGGATGGTTAACGGCTGACATAACTGATTTTATTACGAGTGATCACAAGTGCGATTGCCGGGTAAGCGGTCTCGAGTTCGATTCCCGGGTCGGGCAAAGTACTACGCGGTTTTGAAAAAATCTCAGTGGTAGCACGGAATTGTGCCCGGTATATGGCAATAGGCTCACCCCCTATAACATAAATAGTGAAAAGTGGGTGTTACATTGTAAGTACAGTTCGTATTTTGACATTAATTGTACGGAGTTTCTGTAAAATTTTGTATTGAGAGGTTATTAATACAAAAAGAAGTAGCACAGCAAGTAGATGAAGAAGTTAGTGGTAAAGTGTTAGATTCTATCTTCGTACTAGGTACTTCATCTTCTCCCAAGGCGAGAGAGGTCATTAGATGATTTTCCTCCTTTTAAAAAAGAGTAGTAGATCAATTTTATTTGATAGTATATGTTATTGCGTCTCTAAAGAACCGAAAAAGATGCATGGAAAGAGGTGAAGCTTTCATTGTTTTTGAAACTTATTTTTTTTTATTACATGTGGCCGGTTAACGAGCAGACGGATCACCTGATGGTAAGCAATCGGCGCCGCCTATGGACACCCGAAACACCAAAGCGTTACAAGTGCGTTACCGGCATTATGGAAATTGGGAATTTGAGGATTGTGGAGGATTCGGGAGACTAGGGGGGTAATTGGGCCTCCGGTAACCTCACTCACACGACAAAACACAACGCAAGCGTTGTTTCACGTCGGTTTTCTGTGAAGCCGTGGTATCACTCCGGTCGATCCGGCCCATTCGTGCCGAAGCATGGCTCTCATACCGTAGTATTGGGAATTCGTGTTGGACAACCGCTTGTGGGTGGTGTAAGGGGCACAACACCATCTCAGTGCCCCAGTCAACCTCACCTGCTCGTGGTACATCCTGCTGACTAACGGACGAGGCTCTGGCGACCGACACATGGCGGAATAACCATGCTAAGTAGGCGTAGCAAAATTTCAGACTAGTGACGGGGAGCAGCGTCACTAGTGCGAGGAGCTACGCCCTGCGATCACCAACCCGCCTGCCCAGCGTGGTGATTATGGGCATTACCTTATATGGCACGGCATTTCAAAAAACGGCCCCTAGTTCCCGGTCGCCCCGCTATTCCTGGCCAAGTCGGCGGCCATGGTAACGGCGGGACAGGGGGTGCTAAGAATCCCCGGGCTACGAAAGGCCGACAACACCAACTGACCCTGGCTACGTACAACGGACGCACGCTACGGCTCGAAGAACACCTGGCTCAGCTCGAGGTGGAACTGGGGAGCATGAGGTGGCATATTCTGGGGCTGTCTGAAGTCCGAAGACAGGGGGAGGACACAGTGACCTTGAAGTCTGGCCATCTCATGTATTTTAGGGAAGGGGACCAACCATCTCAAGGCGGCGTCGGGTTTTTGGTCCACAAATCCCTCTCAGACAGCGTCTTGGAGATCTCCAGCGTGTCGACTAGGGTAGCGTACCTTGTGATAAAACTTACTAAGAGGTATAACCTAAAAGTCATCCAAGTGTACGCCCCTACCTCGACATATACGGACGAAGAAGTAGAGGAAATGTACGAGGACATTTCTAGGGCCTTGCATACCACCCAAAAGGCCCACTTCAACGTTGTCATGGGGGACTTTAACGCAAAAGTGGGAGTACATATTAGCGGCGAATCGGTAATAGGACCACACGGGTTTGGTAGCAGGAACCATAGGGGGCAAATGCTCGTCAACTTCCTGGAGAAGGAGGGGCTATTCTTGATGAACTCCTTCTTTAAGAAGCAGCCTCAACGGAAGTGGACGTGGCGGAGCCCCGACACTATGACTAAAAATGAGATAGACTTCATTATGACGGACAAAAAGCGAATATTTAGAGATGTCTCTGTGATCAATAGGTTCAACACAGGAAGTGATCACCGACTGGTACGAGGCACTCTAAACATCGAACACAAATTCGAGCGTGCCCGTCTTATGAAGTCTACGCTCCGACCTAATTTGCTCCAAACTGTTGTCGGGTCCGAAAGCTTCCAGCTCAAACTGGAAAATCGATTCGCTGTCTTGGAAACCACAATAGACGCTGATATTGACCAAAAACTCGACCAAATGGTCGGGATACTCCGAGATGAGGGGACGAAAATGTGGCGGGCGCAAAATACCGGCAGGAGGGCGGGGCTTTCGGGTGAGTCTCTGCAGCTGATGAAGAGGCGCCGTGAAAACCCAGCAGTCGCTTCGTCGGATCTTAATAGAAAGATCTCGAAGCAGGTAAGACGTGACCTTCGGTGCTCCAACACACGCGCTATAAAAGAAGCGATCGAGCGAAATCGGGGGTCAAAAGTTTTCATCCAGCAACTAGGTCGAAGCCATCTGACGAAGCTGACTACATCTGAGGGAAAAGTCGTCGCTTCTGGGCCGGAGATTCTTGCGGAGGTTCAGCGCTTCTACGGTGATCTATATGCGTCACAAGCACCCCAACCTCAATCATACTCGGGGGATCCCAGGGCCACACTTGTCCGCCACTTCACTGAAGAGCTGCCAGAGGTCAGCCAAGACGAAATCGGGGTGGCTTTGGGGCAGCTTAAAAATGGAAAAGCCCCCGGTGAGGACGGAATTACGACGGAGCTCCTTAAGGCAGGGGGAAAACCGATTCTCGAGCGGCTCCAAAGTATATTTAATTCCGTCCTCTTCACGGGGAGAACTCCTAGGGTGTGGAGCAGAAGCATTGTCGTTATGTTCTTCAAAAAGGGAGATAAAACCCTTTTGAAGAACTATCGTCCTATTTCTCTTTTGAGCCACATCTATAAGCTGTTTTCCAGGGTCATCACGAATCGTCTCGCACGAAGGCTTGATGAGTTTCAGCCCCCCGAGCAGGCCGGGTTCCGAGGAGGATATGGCACCATGGACCACATTTACACGATGAGGCAGATTATACAGAAGACCGAGGAGTATAATCGGCCTCTATGCTTGGCGTTCGTGGACTATGAGAAGGCCTTTGACTCTATCGAGATCTGGTCTGTTCTGGAGTCCTTACAACGGTGCCAAGTCGACTGGCGATATATCCAAGTGCTGAGAGAACTGTACGAAGCTGCGACTATGGCCGTCCAAGTACAAAATCAGCAGTCTGAACCTATTCACCTGCATCGAGGAGTGAGACAAGGGGATGTTATATCCCCCAAATTGTTCACAAATGCTATGGAGGATATGTTCAAGACACTGCATTGGAAAGGACGGGGCATAAACATAAACGGCAAGTATCTCTCACACTTGAGATTTGCAGATGATATCGTCATCGTGGCTGAAACCGTTCAGGACTTGCAATATATGCTGTGCAGCCTGGCTGATGCTTCCGCGCGCATTGGGCTCCGGATGAATTTGGACAAAACAAAAATAATGTTCAATGAACATGTCATTCCGGAGCCAATTGTTCTCAACGGGTCGCCTCTCGAAGTCGTTCAGGAATACATCTACCTAGGACAAACCCTGCAGTTTGGTAGGAACAGCTTCGAAAAGGAGGCCCGTAGAAGGATACAGCTTGGCTGGGCAGCATATAGAAAACTTAATCAAGTCTTCTCGTCTCAGATACCGCAAAGCCTGAAGACAAAAGTCTTCAACGAGTGCGTCCTTCCAGTAATGACATACGGAGCCGAGACGTGGACACTGACAGTGCGACTGGTCCACCAATTTAAGGTCGCGCAGCGAGCTATGGAGAGGGCTATGCT